CCGCCCGGCGAGCGCCGCGGCCCGGCAGCGCAGGAGAGCCCTTCGAGTGCGTCGCTGGCGAGCCGTTTGGGGGCCGCTTCGCAGCAGCAGGGCCTGCGCACTGTTGCCGCTTCGGGCTCCCTAGGATGGGGCGCGTAGTTGGTGCGTTGTTCACCCTCGACGCCAAGGCGTTGGGGTGGTGAGCATGGAGGAGACCAGGGCGACCACCACCACCCACAACGCCTTGGTGCTGCTCAGCAACGCATTCAGGTCCGTGTCCAGGTGGCGCCTGCGCACCCGAGTTTAGAGGAGTTCAACCGTCGCGGCGCTCGACCTGACTGACAACCGGCTGCCCGCCGCGGGCGCGACGCACGCGCCATGAGCCATGGAGCAGCTGCGGTCCGGCCTCGCCAAGGGCCTCGTCGTCGGCCACCTCGCGTGCCCTCACCTTCTCCATCGCCACGATCAAGGAGCCCGACCGTCGGTCCGTCGGTGGAAGCCGTGGGGGGGCATGGGGCGACGCGCGCGGGGCCGTGGTGCAGGGCGCGGCTACAACTCTCTCGCCCCCCCCCCCACCTCTCACACTTCCGACGCCGATCCGCCCCGAAGGACTGCAGCGTGCTCAGCTTGTTGGGGCTGCCCTCTCGGTCCCCTCCCCTCCTCCCTTCAATGAGTGTTGTTGTAGTTGTCTCTCTTTTCATTACTTCAAAAATGCAGTTTCAAATGGTAATAAGTGTTATGTATGACACTATTTTATATTCCGAGATGAAGATACAATAATTCTAAGAATATCTTATTTTATTAGGGCCCCAGAGCAGATTAAAAAGAAAAAAAAAAGAAAAAAAAGAACTACTGCAGGTTACAGATTGGAAGTCTTTAAATTGGAAAAGTACGAATCCGCTCATGCTGCTGGAGTACAGAAAAGGTATCTGAGATGGACCCATGAAAAACATGCAAGTTGGCTCAAAATTTTAAATTTAATAAGGCCATGCGTCAGCTGAGCAGTCCAGCTGCGGTTAAGTATTTTTCACTAGCATTTTCAGACGTTTGGAAAGAAGTTGATGGTTTAAATTATTCATTTACTTAAAGTGCAACACCCTGGCAATGCAGTACTACTCAGACAACACTAGGACTACTAAGGTGACAACTGATGAGGAAATGTTCAACATAATTTTTACACGGGACCATCAAGATTTTATATTCACAGTTGGAAAGCTTAATATGCTTATTTCATCCCTCTAAACGCATTGCAAATGGGCAGCAATAGTTCTGAATAGGAAATTTCACTTAATAAGCCACCACCAGGCCATAGACAGACTGCATTATGGGTTTACGTTACCTAAGTCTGGGGCTGTTACTCCAGGTTCGCTAATATTGTTTCCAATGTTTTTTTAAACTTTTTTCACTCACATTTAGTGTTAAATTAGTTGTACTACTCGAACTGCAGTGCCATGGTGGTCTGAATCCATTACATAAACATTTTTGAGCCCTCTAATGACATATACA